TTGATGGCTCGCAATTTAAGACTCGCTTATCAAATTATCTCAATCGGAATTGAGGACTTCATCTTTTTTGACAAACGAACCTTAACCAATTTGAGGAGGCTTCCACTTTCGCGCATCAACGACTTCCGCTAATTAATTGGAAATGCATGTAAAAGATTTTCAATAGAATGTTACCTACCGGAGAAAATGGATGGGGGTCCTCGATGTTGGAACTGCGAGAATCTGGGGCATTTGAAAGGCGCATGCAAAGACTCCCGGGCTCGGACCGCAAAGAAAGACGGCTTCGCCAGCTGATGTATGGATTATCGTCAGCTCCACAACGTGATTGTGAAAGACAGCTATCCGTTACTGAACACTGACGTCACTTTGGATACTCGTACTGGATCAAGAATACTCAAAACGTTAGATTTAAGAATTGACTATTGAGTTATCTCCAGAAAAGACGGATTTACCCTTGGATCGAGATTATGGCAATTCACCGTCATGCCATTCGGATTGTGCAATGCGCCAGCCGCTTTTGAGTGACTAATGGGATCGTTTCATAACCTTTTGAATATGTGTATGTACTCTGCGTTTCCCCCGTGCCCTGTTAAGAACTGTGTTAGATGGTAGTATACCTCTCCGTTCTTTTTTTGGTGCCATTTATCTGGACGTCGTGAATCAATCTACTTGTCCAGGACTTCCTACGACCCCATTCCTCCTGCCAGCGAGCCAAGGAGTCTTTCCTAGTGGTACTGATTACCCTCCTCTTGCTTGCGCTGGGACCGTCTATGTCCCGGAACAGGATTCGCAGCTGTTTGTCATAGCCTTGGCTATTTCGGTTCGGATTTTCACGTGGTTGACAAACTTCAAGCTTCTATCTATGGTGTTTATAGTATCCCCCCCCCCCCCCCATCTTCGCCACTATCTGGGGAATTTTTCGCATGCCTACTATGGCTACCGCCTTGGATTTTTCTCCCACCAGTTTTAACCTCTTCTCTCCCATCCACCTGTCGATGGCTTCTATGGGGGTGTCCATACGCCGTTTCACCACCCCCAGTTCCCTATCCGTTGCTATCACTGTATCAGTCATCTGCAAACTTCATCCCCCTCGGTACCGTCATGCCTACTACTTCATCGTGCGCCATATTCCATAGTAGTGGCCCTAATACTGATTCCTGAGGGACGCCTCCATTTACTTCTATTTGATAACAATTTCCGGATTCGGACGTTCAGACATGCCACTATTACCACCTCCCTGGTCTGCCACGTACCCTTTCTAGCCGTCTCTACCCGATTTTGGAGTGCTACATTCGTCCCCCTTCCTTTCACTAAACCGTACTGATTTGGGGAGGCCTTCCATATAGACTGCAATCGCGCCGCAACTACCCTCTCGAATAGCTTGCCAAGATGGCTTAGTAGGGCGATCGGCCTAAATTTGCCCTTATTCTTTTTAGGTACCTTCGCACTTTTCCACGTATTTCCATTCACTGATATCTAACTCGAAAGCGGCAGAAAACATCTCGGGGACTCACTTTGCATTCAGTGCCACGAATTCCGGAGGGAGTCCGTCGGGCCCTGGACCTTTCTTCTTGGGTATTTTTTTGGCTGCCTCCGTGATCTCCTTTTCTTCGATCTTCCTTTGGTTGTCTTGATCATCTACCGCCATCTGCCGGTCCCGATCGCTCGTTCTCTCACGCCAACCTTCTCGACTACTATTTTATATGCTTTACCCCATGGCTCCTTCTCGATCTGGTCACACAGCTCTCGCCAGCATTATTTCTTCCTTTTTTCCATCGCGCTCCTCAATTGATTGTCACTGGCCCTGGTCCTTAATTCTTCCACTACCCTGGCGTTTAGATGTTACGCCCTTCTTCTAGTCCGAGTACCTCGCCTTCTACTTTCCACGCATTTGTCCGTAAGAGCCGCTATCTCGACGTTTCACCAGTAGGTAAGTCCTACGTTTCCTCGACCCAGATGATGCCTTTGACATTGAGAACACCATGATAGAAGTCATTTTTAGGAACATTGTAGTGTACCTACTTGATCCCCAGGTTCTACGCTAACTTCACACTACAAGAAAACGAAAATAAAGTCAACCCGGCAACATTTAAAAATGGCCACCCGAATGACTATTTCCTCCAAAACCAAACAAGATCCCACTTAAATTTGAAAAGTGGCACGTGATCAAACACCTAAGGCAGAACCCCCTTACGTTAGTTGTAAACAACGCTATGACCTGAAGCGCCGTAGGGAAGGAACGTAAAATAAAAACACAGAAATTGTGAAAAGTTTGTTTAATAATGATCGTAATTATATAAAGCTTGGAAATTTAAGTCAAAATAAATTACATTGCAAAAATACACTTTGAAAATGGTACATAGTTCACCGAATAAAAATAGAAATAGGTTGTGAAAAAAAGAACTTACCAATAAAAAAACCAGCCGTCAAATTAATATCAAATTGTGTTGTAAAATTAATTGTTTGTAATGATGTGAATGCGTAACATAAAATTATAACACAAAAAGTAGCATGTAGACTTCAAGAGGTAACATATGGGTTAAAAACAAGTTTTGGGAATTATGGGTCAGGTAAGCAGGTACCAAGATTAAAGTCCTTTTGTTAAAAGCAAGATGGAAAATTACATAGCCTTGTAGGCAAATTTAACTAACCCCAAAAATATGTGGAAATTATTGGATCGCCCTCCATACATCACACATAGATTCGAAACCGAAGAGTTTTGATTAGCATAATCTCGCCCCCGCAAGATAGGTAGCGTCGCCCATCGTTCGGGGTTTCGAGCCTACAGTTGAATGTCGAAGACAATCACGGAATTAGATGTCGTAGCTCAATTTTGACTACAGTTTTTACCACCCCCGTAACTGCTTCATTCACATTCAATACATACATCAATCGAATCGATAACTTCCACAGATTAAAATAAAAAGATCAAAATTTATATGAATGTAACTTCTGGGACAAGACCAAGTAATCATCATCAATAAACATAAATTAAGCAAGCATTACACCGAAAACGTAAACAATTACAAACAATAGTATAACGGTATCACATATGTGATTATGCATTGAGGTTACACGAAATAAATTTCAAAAACAAAGATTCAAACACACAAAAAATATAAAATGTAGCTTACAAAACACAAATACGATATAAATTAATGCAAAGACTATTACCTGCATTAAATAACACAAAATAACAACGTTCACGGTCGCCATTCAAGACAAGATGCCAAACGTAGCCCACGTTCGTGCTTTCTAGATGGCGCAGGCAGCTTTTTTCCAGTTCCCACCTAGAAATTGCATGGTTGCCAATTCAAAAATGTATGTATCGTCGTAAGTTGTATATACAGGGTGGAACTTCTCAACATGGACATCGAGAAGTTTTGGTATGGGCGTGGAAAGTGCGCGAAACTCCGGAAGATCGTCGATTGGCATTTCTTCCAAACTACAGGATGCCAGAAATGAGAGACCGACACAATCTTCTGAACGAAACTGGAAGTGTTCCGGGACGAAACACTTCTAAGGAGGGTGTTGCGGTTTATGGTTTGTCTTGATTGATTATTATTTATTAATTTATTGGGAGCGTGGAAAGTAATACATATGTACAGGGTGGCCAACTAAGAATGCGAGGTACTGTATCTGGGAATCTATCCATCGTAGAGGCTTGCGATAAAAAAAGTTATTACTAAAACGCCCACGAGAAAAACCTGGAAAATATTTTTGTTTCTGAAATGACCGCTAGGAGGCGTAACTGCAATCAGGAATCTGAAAAAGTGATGTTTTTGTGAATTCCGCTTTATTAACCAAACCAAAAAACCAAAAAATATCCGGTCTTTGAAGTCGACGATAATCTGAACCATCTTTGTTTGACAATTTTTCCTGTATCTCTAAAAATGAAGTGGTGGGGGTATTCAAATGTTTCCGTAAAGAACACCCTGTATTTTCGAAGCGGCTGAGCCGATTTAAACAAACTCGGGTTAGTTCAAAAGAGCTATTCTTCAGCTACAAATATTGTAATATTTGAAGTTTTGTTAGTTTCACATATCACCGCTTGAGGACTTTTTTCGACATTCCGACAGAAATGGTTAACTTTCTCAAAACAATTAAATGCATTGGTTCGATTTTTTTTTTCATGATATGTGAAAATAACAAAACTTCAAAAATTATAATATTTGTAGCCGAAGAATAACTCTTTAATTAACTCGAGTTTGTTAAATTCGGCTCAGCCGTTTCGAAGATACAGGGTGTTCTTTGCGGAAACCTTTGAATACCCCCCACCACTTCATTTTTAGAGATACGGGAAAAATTGTCAAACAAAAAAGGTTCAGATTATCGTCGTCTTCAAAGACCGGGCATTTTTTTTTTAGGTTAACATAACGGAATTCACAGAAAAATCACTTTTTTTAGATTCCAGATTGCAGTTACGCCCCCTAGCGGCCATTTCAAAAACTTAAAAGTATTTTCCAGGTTTTTCTCGTGGCCGTTTTAGTAATAACTTTTTTTACCGCAAGTCTCTACGATGGACAGGTTCCCAGATACAGTACCTCGCATTCTTATTTGCCCACCCTGCACATTTGTGATGTCATTTAATGATTTTTTCCATCATAGACATATTTTACCTGTGCTGGTGTCGCCATCTAACATGTATTACATTAATTACATACATTCAAATCCCAACAGAGGGAGCAGTGATACGCACTATAATTTGACGGGGAATCAATCAGTCTACCACCCCCTGGAAGGTATATAAATAAGTTCTTTGATCAATTTAGTTAGTTGAATAATTGTTTAGTGAAAAGAATTACAGTATTTTTCCCCACGTCGTAATTCTTTCAGATGGAAAGTGAGTTGACTAACTGCAGGGGTATGTCACCACGAGACCTTTACAAAGCATTGTGAATCTGTTCCAAAGTTTTGTATGTTTCGGAAAGGATCTAGGGAATACGTGGCAGATTACACTGTAAGAAATGTTACCCCAAGATGGAGATAATATAGTAATATCCTTCCAATATACGTTTATTGAGTAAATAATTGGAAAGATCCGGGTCAAGTGACAAAATTCTTCACTTAAACGTTGATGAAATCTCTGACATTCCGAACGTTGGAATAGACGCCTGGATATTTTGGATCGGCGCATCCCCATCCCCAGGACACGACACCGATTTGTACATCATCAGCAACGAGGGGGCCGCCAGAGTCTCCCTGTAACATCAATGAATTCATAACTTCTGTGACAAGGATGACTCCAATTTTTGCTTACCTGACAGGCGTCCTTGTTGGTTGCACTGAAGCAGATCATCCACTTTGAGATTTTTCCGCCGTAAGCGTTGTTACATTCGGATCTGCGCACTTCGCGAACCTCGACAGCTTTCAAATGTGTAGGAGCGGGCCCACCCGAGTACAAGGCACCCCATCCCGTTACGATAGCGGTACGACCGCCTTCGACGGCGTCCCGAGCGTCCAGTTTGACGATTTGCGCCTTCTCGTACATTTGGATATCGGAAACGAGAGTGAGCAGCGAAAAGTCGAGATCCATCGTGTTGGAATTGTATCCGTCATGTTCCATGATCTCCTTAACTGCCACTACATAGCCACCTTCCCCTTGTATGGTCGAACCGTAACGAATGCTCAAATCCGCTTCCTCGTATAGAATCGTGCAGTGAGCGGCAGTCAAAATCTTGTTGGCTGCGATTATCGATCCTCCGCAGATATGTCTTCCGTGATATTGTAGGGAAATTTGGTACGGGTGGTCGTCAATCCTGACGTCGTAACCACCTACAATTCTTCCATCGAGTCGTGGAACACGATACTTCGGTCTTGCTTCTAAAGTGAAAAGGCAATAAAACTACGAAGTTCAATAATCAAACAAGACTTACCGACGGCAAGAGCCAGGAGAGCTGCAACCAAGAGAGTCTTGAACATGTTGCCCAAAAAAGTGAGGACTCCGCCGAATCTTCTCGATTTTATACTGGATCTCAAGCACTTCAATTAGTTGATTAGATAGTACCTACACTTGTACGACTTAGAGACGCGACATGCTTGGTCATTAGCCGAATCCATTGATGGATATCGTATCGTAAATCAGATGATAACTCGCAATCGGAATTGAGAGCTTAATCTATTTTTACAAAGGAACTTTAACTACGAATCAATTGAAAATTTCCAAAGACCCTGTCTTGGTGAAAAGGCCTCTATTGGGCCATATCACTACCTTGGTTAGAGCCCTTATCTGAAATCACAGTTGTTTTCCTTCCCTCTTCTTTGTTTAACGTTTTGCACCTGTAGTCAAGTATCACTTGCAAAACCTCATTTTGCCATTAAGTTCCGTCTGAAATCCTCCATTGTTACCACTAGGATATGCTTTTTGGTAGCTGCTTTGCTGAGGAATCGCTTGAATCCGCCTCTTCGATTTGGATACGGTTAAAATCACACGGACGGGCAAAACTTCTGGACGTAGCTTCTCCTTTCCTTTTATGTATGCTGCACGGACCGGTCACAGAATTGGCGGGTTATGTTCCATCGTTTCAGATATCCTTTCTTAGAAATTCTGCAAAAATCTTGGTCTGGGCGCTATGGAAACCATATTTGGGGCGTAGTTTCCCGCTTCCAGGTTTTGCCTCGAAGCCGATTCGCTTAAAAATGCAAGGCTCGACTCCGCGCAGGTTTTGCACTAAGTACTGTACTTTATCATTTTACAGCTGCCTGATGTTGCGTACCCTATTTCTACTTCCGTTTTTCGGTTTTGCGGGGTGATCCAGAACGTGCACAGGTTCACATTCAGGAAAGAGACGCTTGTGGTACGCAAGACAAGCTTGATATCTATTTACACGTCCGTTTAAATTAGTGGAAAAAGTGCTAAATATTGATCCACGTTGGCGGTGTACCCCCATTTGGCAATATAGACGTTGGGGATAGCGGAGTCTGATTGATTCCTAACAGTGCAATTACAGGACCCGAAGGCACAGGAGTTGGTGAAGGCTCTAAGGGCTGGCGAGACGGAGGGTGATAATTTGGGGCATGAATAACACTATTTAACTAAATATTCTCAGACTAAGTTGATGTTCTCACATCGCAACGGCGTGGTAACTGATCCGATGATATCCTTTTCCCTGATTCTCTGGTCAGTATCAGTTTTCTATATGCATATACAAAACTGTTCCAAATATCTCAACCCAAATTAACAGTCAGGGATGGTGATAGGTTAGTTTGAGACGCGTCATGGGGTTTTTTAATTTAGATATTGATAGTGCGCAAGCAGGTAACAAAACACGGTACGACGTTTAAACAACAGAAGGGATTGCATTCCCTAGTCACTTTCTATAAGAAAATTTTTTTCCGGATCGATCTGAGACAATTTTTTTTCGGGGCTCAAAAAAAGGCAGTGTATAACCTTCCTTTTTTACCAAAAATCGACTGCACCAAAATTTCTCGGGAAACACTTTTTCTTATTAATTTTGGTGCGTAGAATCCAAAACAATTCGTACTTTTTCGATCAGACTTCTCAATCAAAAGTTATAGACTAGAAACCAATTTCGAAAGAAAATTCAAAGGGCTGTAACTTTTGAACTAGTAGCCCAATCTTGGAACTGTTTGAAATTATGGATTCTACAGGCCACATTCTATAAGAAAATTTTTTTTCCGGGTCGATCTGAGACAATTTTTTTTTCGGGCTCAAAAAAAGGCAGTGTATAACCTTCCTTTTTTACCAAAAATCGACTACACCAAAATTTCTCGGGAAAACACTTTTTCTTATTAATTTTGGTGCGTAGAATCCAAAACAATTCGTACTTTTTCGATCAGACTTCTCAATCAAAAGTTATAGACTAGAAACCAATTTCGAAAAAAATTCAAAGGGCTGTAACTTTTGAACTAGTAGCCCAATCTTGGAACTGTTTGAAATTATGGATTCTACAGGCCACATTCTATTTTTTTCCGGGTCAATCTGAGACAATTTTTTTTTCGGGGCCCAAAAAAAGGCAGTGTATAACCTTCCTTTTTTACCAAAAATCGACTACACCAAAATTACTTGGGAAAACATTTTTTCTTATTAATTTGGGTGCGTAGAATCCAAAACAATTCGTACTTTTTCGATCAGACTTCTCAATCAAAAGTTATAGACTAGAAACCAATTTCGAAAAAAAATTCAAAGGGCTGTAACTTTTGAACTAGTAGCCCAATCTTGGAACTGTTTGAAATTATGGATTCTACAGGCCACATTCTATAAGAAAATTTTTTTCCGGGTCGATCTGAGACAATTTTTTTTTCGGGGCTCAAAAAAAGGCAGTGTACCTATTATAACCTTCTTTTTTTACCAAAAATCGACTACACCAAAATTTCTCGGGAAAACACTTTTTCTTATTCATTTTGGGGCGTAGAATCCAAAACAATTCGTACTTTTTCGATCAGACTTCTCAATCAAAAGTTATAGACTAAAAAACCAATTTCGAAAAAAAATTCAAAGTGCTGTAACTTTTGAACTAGTAGCCCAATCAGTTAGAAATGTTTGAAATGATGGATTCTACAGGCCACATTTAGGGAATGCAATACCGGGATCGCGGGATCCCGAAATACCGGGATCCCGCAGCATTTTTGCGGGATTAATCCCGCACATAAATGGAGCGGGATCCCGCAGGATTTGCGGGACTGAGGAATTTGTCGACCAAGTGGACGACTCTGTTTACTTTGTTAATGAAACGCATAACGGAGAAGTTATTTTTTATATAATAGTTAAACTTTTTTCGTTAAAAATTTACTAGGCCGAAGGTACTTTTTTGTTAAATATTGTGATAATTAGCGACTTATTTGAATGCAGAAGTTAACCGCACAGAATTGCGTAGTTGCTAATTTATTTAAAGTTTTGCGGTATCCCGCAAATACCGGGATCCCGCGGGATTAACATCTAGCAGTCCCGCAAATACCGGGATTGAGATTTTGCTGCGGGATTGCATTCCCTAATCGCGACTCATATCGCAGATAGATTCTAATCATAAGAGATTTTGTTAGCAGGGTCTCTACCCAAAGACAGTAACGTTGACCCTCGTTCGGGAATTCCAATCATCATGAGAATTAAAATGATCACAGTGTAATGTACTTAACCCCCAGGTTCTACAGCAACTTCACACTACAAGAACACAGACACAAAACCAACCCAGCAACGTTTAAAAACGGCCACCCGAATGACCACTCCCTCCAAAACCAAACAAGATCCCGCCCAAATTTGAAAAGTGGCATGCGATCAAACATCCAAGGCAGCCCCCCCCCCCCAACGCTAGTTGTAAACAACGCTTTGTCCTGAAGCACAGTAGGGAAGGAACGTTAAATAGAACACTGAAATTGTGAAAAGTTTGTTTAATAATGATCGTAATTTCTAAGATTGTGAAATCCCGGAAATTTAGTTGATGTTCATTAATATAAACAAAGCAAGCAAAGCCAAAAAGGTGTCGTACTCTCGCAAAAGTAACTACTAAGGGTAAAAAGAGTACGACGTAAGAAAAACCTCGCAGTTTGATTAATACAGTCCTCAAGATAATTAACAAAATATTTTGTAAAAGTTTAAGCAGTAGTTAACCAAAATAGTAAATGCATATATACAATGTTGGTTACATTCAAGGTTAAAAGAAAGTTTTTGGGAACAATGGTCACACATAGATTATCAACTGAAGAGCTTTGATTAGCGTAATCTCGCCCCCGCAAGATAGGCAGCGTCGCCCCTCGTTCGGAGTTTCGAGCCTACAGTTGAATGTCAAAGACAATTACGGAATTAGGTGTCGTACTTCAATTTTGACTACAGTTTTTACCACCCCCGTGATTGCTTCATTCACGGAGAAAATTGATTTGATTAGCGTAATCTCGCCCCCGCAAGATAGGCAGCGTCGCCCCTCGTTCGGAGTTTCGAGCCTACAGTTGAATGTCAAAGACAATTACGGAATTAGGTGTCGTACTTCAATTTTGACTACAGTTTTTACCACCCCCGTGATTGCTTCATTCACGGAGAAAATTGATTCTTTCCCACACATGAATTAATCCATTTGTCAATTAAACCTATCTGATAAATAGCCAACATAGTTTCCAGTTTATTTTCAAAAAGAATCAATCTACCCCTCTCCGCCCCTGGCTCTTCTTTAGAAATTGAGTTTAGAAACTCAGAAATCACAATTTTCTCTATAATCAAGATTTCTCGTGACAATTAAATTTAATAAACAATTTAGTCTCTTAAATAAACTTTATTAATAATTTAGGTAGATTAATTTTTTCGCATTTTCCAGGCCTACCACCTTTCCCCTCAGGATCGTCTTTAAAAATGCTATTTGATCCACTAGAAATAAGAAAAAATCACGATCTTTATTATCAGTGTTTAATTAGCATAGGTAATTAACAATTCGCGCTGTAGTAATTAAACTTAAAGTGATAATTATTTACCCCTCCGACCGCTGTTGTTTAAAAATTGAATGTTGGACAAAGAAAAAAATTACATTTTCCTTATGATCAAAATTTTTCCCTGATAACCGTCCCTTAGTCGGCGATTCATTTTGCCTATTTAACTTAATTGATAATTATTTATAGGTATCATAATTGAGTTCGAGCAATTAAAAAAATACATTTTTTGTAATCAGGATTTTTCCCTGACACTTGAATTTAAAGTTGGCAATTCATTCTGCCAATTAAAGCTAATTGATATTTTAATACACACATTCCCCCACCCCACTCCCCTCCCGATCTTATACAGAAATAGGGTTTGAGCAATTAAAAAATGGGAATTTTTCTTATCAAGATTTTTTTACTCGCCATTGAATTGCCAATTATTCATTCTGCCAATTAAACCTAAATTGCTAATTCAGGACACACTTTTTTTTTACATTTTTAAAAACGGACTAATGCCTCTTTTTCTCCCTCCCGATCTTATCTAGAAATTTCTTTATAATCAAGGTTTAGTTCCTAGTAATTTAATTGGCAACTCATTCTGTCAATTAAATCTAATAATTTAGGTAACGCTTTTTTTCCCAAATATACACTATCCCGTTCCCCCTCCTGCTCTTCTTTATAGCTCTGAGCCACTCAAAAATCACAAATTTTTTTATAATCAAGCTTATAATTGTTGATTATTTAATTTAATTGACAATTTTCGCTCGGTCAATTAGACCTAATTGATAATTTAGGTAGCAGAATTTTTATTTACAAAAATATAGACCATATACCTTTGGTTCTTCTTTAAAAATTGAGTTTGGACAAATAAAAAATTAACAATTTTGCTTTATAAACAAGATTTTTTGGGGGAATTTAATTTAATTGACTACTTACCTTATTTTCAAAAACAGGTAACTTCACTCTCTCTCCCTGAATTTAATTGACAATTATTCATTCCGCCATAATTATAAACCTAATTGCTAATTTAGGTAACATAATTTCCCCCTCTACGACTCCTTTTTGAGCAATTAAAAAAACTATACATTTTTCTTTAGAATCAACATTACAACCAATTGCGAATTCTATTGGCAATTTGCATTCTGCCAATTAAACCTAATTGATAAATTAGGCACCTGGGATTTTAAGTACCTATCACTTTCTCGACATTCGGCCTCTCTTTAAAAATTGAGTTTCAGGAACAAAAAAAGTATAATTTAAAAAAATGTGTTTTTATTCAATTAAATTAACCTTAATTGACAATTCGTTCCGCCAATTTAAACCTTAAAAAATGATTAATTGGCATAATAAATTTTTCAATTAGGTTTAATTTAATTTGATCGAAAACGTGGGATTTACAGGAAGCTGCAGGTTAGGTATACCTAACACCCTCTCCCTCCCTCCTTCACACACCCAGCAACTTGTGTGGCAGATCACAACTCCAAACAACGTATTGCTAAACTTGTAAACTTTCCACTGTGACCTTCCTTTACAGTGAGGTAAAATCAATAATTGCTTATTTTTCCAATCGCCCTGTATTTTTCCTGAATTTGAGATAACCTTGTGAAGGTGACCCGTTCAGATAAGTGGTAATCCTAATATTTACTGTGTACTAGCAGTTATCGGGCACAAGTCAGAATGGGTGCCGACGACAACCTCACTGCTGTGCTGTACGGAGTGAATGACCTTCGATTGGTAAGTTTTTTATAACTGGTAGGTCACTCGTGTACTAAAAATTGTGCCCGGTCCATGTAGGAGCAACGACCGATTCCTGTACCGACGGACGATGGTGAGTGTCAATTTGTCCATGGTCCCGTAACATTTGTCTTGCAGAGGTCCTGTTGAAGATGGATGTGGTCGGAATATGTGGGTCGGACGTGCACTACTTGGTGCACGGTCGTATCGGGCACTTTGTTGTGGAGAAACCGATGGTCATTGGTAAGTGTGAGTCGTTATAGATTGATGGTATAGGTACTGCGTTGTAGGTCATGAAGCTGCCGGGACAGTGTCGAAGGTGGGGAAGAATGTCACACACCTAAAGCCAGGTACACATTCACCCTGATCATCTTCTTTTGTTTATATACAGGGTAGGGCTAATAATGTAGGTACCCGGTGCACAGATTACTTATTCCAATGCAAAATGCCCATCCTTGGACTAACAATGGCAAAAAATAGGAAATTTGGAAACAATAGGTTTCTATGTATTTTTGTCCATTTTATAAAATTGGAAGTGGGGGGTTGGATTTGTTTAAAAATAGAACAATTTTGAGGTGGTGACTCGCATTATTAATGTATTATAGATGGCGTTATTGATTTTGGACTTTTGTTACAATATTTTAAATGGAAATCGGAAAAGGTTAATGCCTTAAATAACCTCGTCGACCTAAAGCGCCATCTGCCGGCTATCAATAATCCTAAATTAATAATGCAGATACGGGCTTGAAATCCTGTAGTATACCATTTTGTGTCCAAATTTCCTAATCACTCCAATTGAATACAAAAATACCTTTTCTCTGTTTCGAAGTGAAAAGTAATTTCCGATGGTTTCATGCAAAAATACTTTCTTCCTTCTTACTTGACCTCTTGGTATATGAATATACACAGCGCTTCAGCAACTATGAAAATTATTTCAGGCCCTGCAATTAAAAAAAGATTTCCAAAAGCTGTGATTTTCCCACTTCGAGATGTCGCGTTCTTATTTGATCAACCGGTATATTAATATACAGGGTGCTTCAATAACTATAAGAATGATTTCAGGCATTTAAAAGAACAATTTCTAAAATCAGCGATTTTCTCACTTTTCTACATATAGTGTTCCGTTCTCATTTAACCATCTGTTTAAACAAAATATATACTAATATACAGGGTGGCTTGAAGGCACTTTAAAAGAAAAATTTCCAAAAACTGTGTTCCATTCTTATTTTACCACTCGGTATATCAATATATAGAGTGCTTCAGTAACTATATGAATGACACTTTTATTGACAAGACATTCCAAAAGTTGTGACTTTCTCACTTTTCCAGATGTAGTAGTGTTCTGTTCTTATTTAACCACCCGGTATATGAATATACAGGGTGCTTGAGTAACTATTAAAATGATTTCGGGCGCTTTTATTTAAAAGAAACATTTCCAAAAGCCGCGATTTTCTCATTTTTCGTTCTTATATATCGGTATATCAATATACACGGTGTTTGTGTAATTATCCAAATGATTTCAGACACTTATTAAATGAGATATTTTTGAAAGCTGTGATTTTCTCTTTTCTAGATGTAGTACTGTTCTGTTCTTATTTAACCACCCGGTATATGAATATGTAGGGTGTTTAAGTAACTAATAAAACGATTTCGGGCACTTTTATTGAAAAGAAAAATTTCCAAAAGCTGTGATTTTCTGTTTTGATGAGATGCAGTATAGTTCCGTTCTTATTTAACCATCCTGTATATGAATATACACGGTGCTTGAGTAACTATTAGAATGATTTCGGTCACATTTATTTAAAAGAACAATTTCCAAAATTTTGATTTCTCCTTTCGTGATGCAGTAGTGCTCCCTTCTTATTGCACCATCCGGTGTATCAATATACAGAGTGCTTGAGTAACTGTAAGAATGATTTCAGGTACTTTTATTTCCAAAATTTCGATTTTCTTTTAGAAAAAAAATGATAAAATCATTGGCACTCGGTATATCAGTATATGCGGCCTCGCAATAACTATAAAAATAATTTCAGGCACTTTATTTAAACAAAGAAATTTCAACGGCTGTGACTTTCTCTGGAGATGTATTGTTCCGTTCTTATTTCACCACCCGGTATATAAATATATAGGATGCTCCAGTAACTATAGGATGATTTCAGACACTTATTGTAAAGAAAAATTCTCAAAAGCTTTGACTTTCTCACCTTCCATGATGTAGTTGTGTTCCGGTCTTATTTGACCACCCTGTAAATGAATATACGGAGCACTTCAGTTACTATAAGAATCATTTTAGACACTACAACAATGATTTCAAGCACTGTTATATAAAAAAAATTTCAAAGGCTGTAATTTGTATTTAACCATCCGCTATATCAATATATACGGGGTGCTTTGATAACTATAGAAGTGATTTCAGACACTCTACTTTAAAAAACATTCCATGATGCAGTAGTGTTCAATTCTTATTTGACCACCCGGTGTACCAATGTACAGAGCGCTTCAATTAAGATGACTATAAAAATAATTTCAAGCACTTTTATATAAATGTAACATTCATCTTTCAAAAGCTGTAATTTTTTCGGTTTCTGAGATCTAGTAGTCTTCCGTTCTTATTTAACTCCCCGATATTTCAACATACAGGGTGCTTCAGTAAGAGTAACTATAAAAGTAATTTCTCACCTTTTCATGTAAATAAAATTCCAAGAACTGTAACTTTCTCACTTTCTGAGCTACAGCGGTTTTCCGATCTTATTGGGCTACCCAGTAAATCAATATACAGTGTGCTTCAATAGGAATGATTATTATAAAATTGATTTCAGGCCTGTTTTTATTTAACCCCTTGATTATACATATTAAAGGGGGGGGGGGGTATCCCAGACTGCTTAAACAATGTATAGAAGATTTATGATTTTTGTAAACCGCGTCTGTATTTAAAAAACACCAGGCGATCGTGTTGCCATCGAGCCCGGCGTGGGCTGTCGAAAATGCGATCACTGTCGCGGCGGTCGTTACAACCTCTGCGACGAGATGGCGTTCTGCGCGACACCTCCGTACGACGGTAATCTCGCCAGGTACTACACGCACGCCGCCGATTTCTGCTTCAAGCTGCCCGACCACGTGTCCGTCGAGGAGGGGGCGCTTTTGGAACCCCTTTCCGTTGGTGTCCACGCGTGCAAGCGGGGCGACGTTCGGTTCGGGTCCGTCGTCTTGATCCTGGGCGCCGGTCCAATCGGATTGGTCACGCTGCTAGCGGCGAAAGCTTTCGGCGCTTGCCACATAGTCATAACAGGTGAGTGTCGCCCCCTTCTCTCCACCTTTGATGCTATCCGTTCGTAGATATCTTGCAGTCGAGGTTGGATAAAGCCAAAGAAATGGGCGCAGATTACGGCGTCCTCGTGCAATCCGGCGAATCTGACGAGGCCGTTGTACAGAACGTAATCGCGGCTCTAGGGTGTCGACCGACTGTCAGCATTGACTGTGCAGGTGTCGAACTAACAACCGCCGTCGCCATCAAGGCTACCGTCTCCGGTGGCATGGTGGTGCTTGTAGGCTTAGGCGGTAATCCCACCATGAATGTGCCCATCAGTGACATTCTGCTTCGAGAGGTGGACGTTCGTGGAGTATTTCGCTACGTCAATGAGTAAGTAGTCCCCCCTTCCCCGCCCATAAGCACACTTTGGTTACAGTTATCCAACTGCGTTGGAAATGGTTGCGTCCGGAAAGATTGACGTGAAGCCGCTAATTACTCACAATTACAAAATGGAGGACACAATGAAAGCATTTCACACTTCCAGAACTGGCGAGGGGAATGCCATTAAAGTTCTAATACACGCTAATCCCCAATGGGGCCACTAAACATGGTTGTTGCATTTAATTTGCTATGTACTTATGATATAAGTTAAACGCTGGCAATAAAAATTAAGAATAGAGGGGTTACTAGAGGGGCCTCGAGAGCATAAACACTTCTTACAGTCGTATTAGTTATTATTTTCGTTAAGAGAGGATGGTATAGTTATAATTCATTTGTGTTTGGTATTTTTGTCGTGAAGAGACGCTCCCAAGGATGGGAATAGTGGAACTAAAATAATTATTACATCTAATCTCTCGAATTTCATCTATACGCTGGTAATTCCCGAACGTGGGACCAGTTACCTATCCCAGGGGTGGGACTCTGCTAATAAAAAATTCTTCGATTTAGAATCTATGGTCGATATGAGTTGCGTCCCTGGTCACAGCACACAAGCCAGTTCGGGAAGAACGCCGTGAAACTTGAACCGAACAAGAGCGATCTCTTCAAAATCCCTATAGACCTCGAGAAAGCCGGCCTCACCTTTAAGTCGCACCTTCTTAAACTTTCCATTTTGGGTGTCTCTGATCTGTCTCAGGTGCAGGTCAAAGGAGACCATACTTTCTCAGAACTACTGTTCTGCTTCCGAAGAAGCCCTCTCCTTGCCAGACAAATCCTTGAAGGTGATGTTCTGGATATTTGATGCGACGATGCCACGCGCAACCATCGGATGGAATGCCTGTCGGATACAAGGACCATGTCCGGATCGTTTGGTGCTTTAAATGCCAAAAATTCGGTCATATTTCTTTCGACTGCCATAGTGAAACATCCCGACTATGTCTTGGGCAAGTTAAAAGACTATCAGCAGGCGATTTTAATTGCAAGTTGCCGCTTTGGCACTCCCCGACGACCTCATTGCGGGAGGTGACCTATGTGTTGTCAACCAAATGGAATCTCCCAAAGAAGTTTCTGCAGTTCTTCCCACACTTACATATATGGCTTGAACATTTGGTTTGACAGACTAAGGCATTCACACGTGGTCAGAAAATTTCAGTTCCTATTCCTCAAGATCTACCTGGGGTCTTGCAGAACGGTACCCAACGATTCCCTATGCGTTATTGCTAAGCATCCTCACTTCCTGCAGGAAATATACTGCAGCAGTATCTATCTATTTAACGACCGCATTTCTACCAATGACTCTTTTCGATCGCCAAGCGTCACATAAGGCCTTTGGTCCTGGGTGAATGGCAGCGGTCGTATACGCAGTACCATAGTGTCGTCTCTTGTTCTGTTTCTCTCCAGACCATCCTAGATCCAGTTCCCGATGTTCCTAGTGAAGTGACCTTGTTTTATGGTGCAAGGTCGTATCTTGGTATATCTCAGGCGAAAAAAGCGTCCTTGGTGAAGGGGATTCACCCGGTTATGTATGACCTTTATAACGCAAAGTCGTATCTTAAAATTTCCACGCCAAAAAAACACTGTATGAGTTAAATAATCCCATTGAAGAGAGAGAGATGTGGAGAAGAAGGAGACATGGTGCAAACCAAATTATTTTTCAAAGCGTTCAAATAAACCAAAAAAGTTCACAAAAAAATCACCCGCGAAAGGATGATAATAATATCACTATAATCGGGTAAACATTAGAAGGTGATCAGAGGTTAGCCTTTTTGTATAGATATAACGCGGAATTGGATAGTATTTATTTTACACTGCAATTGGGAAAATAACAAAGACGTGTGGGGTGACCTTGTTTTGTAGTGCAAACTCGTGGCTTTGGTGAGGGGCGACAAAAACGCAAAGTAAAATCGCTTTCTGTTCCACCTACAAGATTGAAAATTCCTACAACTCCAACTTAATTGTTTAATAAATTACAAGTGTGGAATTAATTGCTTCATTTATGACTTGTTGGTTCAATCCAAACGTTGGGAGTGCAACATACTCGCAAGCGTAAGGCGTCTTGAATAAATTATCGCTGATTCAAGGTTTTTCGGAAATTATTCTTTAACTCTTCTAGTGTTCATGTATAGTTCTCATGTCATTTTCACGCCTCTTTCCGACTTTCTCACATTACTGATTTCTACCTTCATGTTGGGGGGGGGGGGGCATGGAAAGCCCACAGTACAAAAATTCCATGACCCTTTACCCTACAATCATCATTATATATTTATATCACTATGAGGTCATTAGATAGGCATACTCATATAAATAAAATCTTTTTATTTATTTATTGTCCCTCTTGTTCTAGGCCCTCAACAGGCTTACGCCCAATCTTCGGGTGCTGGAGGGTATTCCATACCTCACCAGACCCCCCAGTGTTGCATTATCGCCCAAAACCTTCTGCCTGACTAATCTAATTCCGGTTTTCGGTAAAACGCCACCGAACGTACCTACCTCCGGTGGATCCCTCAGTAAAAGGAAAATTCTATTACCTACCCTTTCTCTACAACCATCATTGTCACCTTGAGATCATTTCTATACTCATATAAATAGTCTTCGTGCGTACTGGGGTAAAGTAAAAGGAAAACTCTTCACTTCAACCTCTAACTGGCGCCCAACAAAATGGCGGGATTAGAGACTAATATGAAATGGCGACCGATCCAAGATGGCGGATGTAGTGACTAATAAAATGGCGACCGATCCAAGATGGCGTCCAACAAAATGGCGGACCACACCGCTCATTGGCTGTGACGCCACAGGGGACGGGCTCTAAAGGCTCCGCCTCCGTATCCCCGTTGGCCAAGGAGAAGGACATAGGGGGCGTGCTCGTCTCTTGGCTGTGACATCACGTGCTCGTCTCTGATTGGTGTGACTTCACTTCCTGATCCAGAACGAACATAGGTCTTCTACTAATAACATCTACTACAAACATATTATGAGGAGGTCGAGTTGGAGGACCAAGAGTCCTTCACATTACCCACTGGACGCAGTGTCAAAAATTGCGGGTACTACTAATGGTCTATGAAGTCAACAAGGTCAATTACAAACATGCTGCACCGAAACCAGTATACCTATAAGGAGGGGCTGAGCCTCGCAGAAGCACACAATGATCATAAACAGAACACTAAAACCGACGCCCAAAAGACAAATCTTCATGACTTCATCACAGGGGGAAAGTAACAGGGGTTAAGGACCCCTATGACGCCCTCAAGCGGCTTAGACAGCACGACAGTGCCAAAGAAGTTGGAGAGGTGCGTTTGATTTTATTAGGAAGCTACCGGAAGTTAGCGCACTAAGGAAACGTACAGACGGCCAGTACGTCACGAGGGAACTCGGGGCCCTCTTGGCCACAGAATAATGACCGGAGCGGACGCCGGCTATACGAGTAACCGGGTGAAGGTTTTAGGTAAAAGCGGGGTGCGGAAATCCCAAGCGGGAGAAGTGGGTTATTGATGTCGGCCCTAGAAACTTTAAGGCCATACAAAAAAGCAGGTGCTTAAACTTGAACCTTATCAGAATACGGGTAGAGGCGCTGCTACATATGCAACAACTTCGGGCACGTAACGGCAAACTGCCCCAAAAAAGAGGATATATGCCCATCATGTGCTGAATCGCCTTAATAACAGTCTACGCTCAGGTACCTCTTTTTTTAAACCCGACAGCCGGGGGGGGGGGGGGTATGGACCCCCCCCCCCGGGAAAAGAAAATTTAATGATCTAATGATCCTTTCCCTACAACTATCATCACGAGATCATTTGTTGCTCATATATTTCATATTCCCCCCCCCCCCCACCTTCCTGATGTTGCATTCTCTCCTTAAATCATCTGCCTGACCAGTAGCAGCTCATTCCAGTTTTCGGTGAAACACCATCGAACGTGCCACCGAGGGGTGTGTGAGGTCAGAGGGCGCCTCCCCCCCCCTCCCCCATATATGGAAAATATGTAATTTAACACCATGGGACCAATGACCTTGTATTCTTTTAAAAATGTAATTTAACGCCACATCAATTGAGGTCATTGACCTTGTAAATGTAATTTGACACCCCAAAGATGTAATATGATAATTACAGCTTGCCCTTGAGTTTTACCGCGACCTACCCTCCAAGATTACCGCCCGCCTGGCAGTCAACTGTGACCTTGATCTAATTTCCAAGGGCATCGTCCGCGTGTTACCCAAATTTCACCTTGGCCTAATTTCCACTGCAAAGTGGCATGCCACCTTGACCTACATTCCAAAGTCACCACCATGGCGGGCTCTTCGTCGTGAATCATCTGCCACGCTCGGATCGCCTGTGGAGCGTCAGGGTTGGTGGGGCGATGGTTTTTACGGGCAGTACCAAGCGTTCCTCATCGGCATTGGTGACGATAGTGGTGTAGTTGAGATAGGTGTTCCGCCAGTGGGGTATGCTTGCCAAGGCAATTAAACTCCTGGAGGAGGAGGGCCCAAGCGTCGTCTTTGGTTCGATCAAGCCAGAGAAGGTGGAAGTAACCCCAAAATGTCACTTGTCTTGTGCGCGTCGTAAGTGTTGTTTCTGGAGTCGCTCCCTCACCATCCGCAGGTGGTCGAGGTGTTCCTCCTATTGCGTCGAGGTACACCATAATGAACTTCCTCAGGGTTCCCAGGAGCACTTCTTGCGTCATCAACTTCGGAAAGGTGAGCGGGATACTCTTGAGCCCGAACGGCATCATTCGAAAGTGGTAGCGGGCGTGGATAAGCGGTACAGTGAAGCTTTCGTTTCAGGTGCAACTGTTCAACCTGCGGTAGTCCACGTGGAAACGCGCGTTGTCGTCGTTCTTTTGGACAGTGACAATGGGGTACGAGTAGCTAGAGGTGCTCGGTCCAATAATGTGGTCGGCCAGCATTGTTTCGATTTCCTTCGTGGGTCACCCAGTTGGTGGTTTGCCGACGTTGGCTACCCATCGGCGACCGTGACCTAGGATGACCTCGTTGCGAAGCAACCAGTCCTAACCCAGAATAATGGGCGTTGCGAGGTCGTTGACCACCAGGAAGGCTCCCCTAGAAAAATCCTCAAAAATCCAAAACGGTTTTAACGACTTCGTGAGAAGCTTTTGGAAAATCTCAGAGTAATAAGGCCTCCAAATGTTTTTGAACCCCGAACAATTTTTTAAAGGCTGTAAAAGTCTTTAGAATGCCTCTTAGAGAGTCTCTCTAATAGAGACTTTTGAGAACTGCTGGAAATTCGCACCACTGAGACGATCTCAAATGCTTCTAGAGCTCTTAAAAACCT